GTGGTTGGAAAGCGTACGTGTGAAATAATGAAAAGAAAACACGTGAATCCATTCATTTTAGAGTTGAGAGAGTACTAGACTGCAATCTCAACACCCAACTAGCCATGGTTCCTTCAAAGCTGGCCAAAGGTCAAGGATTCTCACCTTGTTAGTTGTAAAGTATGAACAGCACAGCTAGCTAGGGAGGGGTTTAGGGTTATTGGCGCTTGTGCTTTTCTCTTCTGGGCGTTTGTCACTTGCGAGCCATCATCCATCCTCGGTCGTCGTGCATAGAAACTGTAAAGCGATGAGACGGTGAAAAGTGAATTCTGTAATGTACAACTTCCTAACCGGAGTGGAGTCACCACTCATGAATCCTGTTGGATTGTATAGCCTCTGCCCTTTGCCCTGTCGTAAGAAAGAAAGAGAAGGAAAAAGGACCACTACCCAATATTGGTCCCCGCTGTCTATGGTGATTGGTTGGACTTAACATTTACTTTTAACCTTTGCAATTAATTTCTTGTACCATGTTAAGATTATTTTTGAGAAATTTCTCAATCAGTACCTATACTTCGGTTGGAATGACACTTATGGTCCCTTAATTTTAAAACGCGATAATTTAGTATATAAATTTCAAAATGTGATAATTCAGAATCTAGAATCTAAATTTTCAAAATGTGACAATCCGTTACTCGTTGTTAAACCTGTTCATGGGCCAGGTGGCCCGACGGACCAGCCTGGCCCGGCCCAGCCCCCGGACGGGCTTGAACAGGTATATAAGCTCGTGGGCTTAATCTCGGGCCAAAAAGCCCGGCCCGCAATAAATTCGAGCCGGACTCGGGATTTGCCAAAATAGTCCGGCCCGAGCCTAGCCCGGCCCGACCTATAAATAAACCTAAAAACCCTAATTGAATACCCCTCTTTTTTTCACCCCTTTCCCTTCTTTTTCCAACCGAATTCTTCTTCTCCACATCCTCTTTTCCTTCTTTATATATATTTTTTAAAATAAATAAATTTTGAATTTATATATTTTTTTAATGTAAATAAATTCTGATTTATATTGATTATTGAATAGGAAAAATTTCTAATTTTTTTTTATTAGGTCGGGCTTCGAGCTTTTTATTAGGGCCGGGCTCGAGCCCATGTTGTAGACCCGTTGGTCGGGCCGGGCTTGGGCTCGGGCCTAACATATTTCTGTTAATGAAGAGTAAAAGCCCGGCCCGAGCCCGGCCCATGAACAGGTCTACTTGTTGTTAATCAGTTATTATGTGACATTTGAAAAGTTAAAAATGTCTTTCCAATGCCATTTAATTATCTTTATCAAGCATCCATTGACAAAAAAATGAATAGCCCCAAATCTTTGCCTCTTCTATTTAAAAAAGTTGGTGACTGTTTAAGAATCTAGAATTTGGGACTGTTTGTTTTATTGTCAATGTTTGGATAGTTGATAAAGAGAATTAGAAGACATTCTTAGGGCATTTTTGACTTTTTAAATGTCACTTAACGATTGATTAACGGATTGATTAACAACAGGTATTGGATCATCACATTTTGAAAGTTTGGGTACTGGATTGTCGCATTTTAAAGTTCAATGATCAAATTGTCACTGGAGCCAAAGTATAGGGTAATGATTAGAAATTTTCCCTTTTTTTTTCATAGAAACTAGGAAGGATCGATATATGTTAACCAACAAAAAAATACATCAGGAAGGAGGTTTATCACTGTATGTGATGTGAGCCCCATCTTGTCCAATCCTCAAGCCATTCAGTATATGTTTGGCATTGATGCTGCAGAAACAACACCGTTTTCTGATGTATGGGTTAAAAGCAATGCTTTATGAGAAAACGGTGTCTTTTTTTGTTTGGAAACGTTATTGTCAAGTAGGACATTTTCTTGAGCAACAACAACGTTTTTTATTTGATACCAATGCTTTAGGAAACTTTTTCAGCACTGTACATTCAGTGCCATATCATGTCTCTATCACTGTCACTTCTTGTCCTTGTTGGAAACGATTTCAAACAAACAGGACATTTCTTAGAGCACTGTTTTTTTTCCCAATGTGATGCTGATGTATTGCCATTTTTTGGAGTAAAAGCATTGATGCCAAACAGACGCTCAAGCATACTAGTTCTATATATAAACCGAACTTTTTTAAACCTTTGTGCGCAAGTGGCAAGCCTATACGCAACAACATTATATTTACATGACCTCATGATCTGTTTAGAAAGACATACCAAGAAAAAAGAAACAAAATAGTCAACTGGGGGGTGGGTGATTTGGTAAGTTAGTAGGTTTGTTTCATAAGACGCGGAGTGGTGCTGTGCTATTCAAATGGCCCCTATCATCAAATATCATAGTTAAGCATCCAACACCTTCTCATCCTTGTTTAGGCCCTGCAGCAAAACCTTCGAGTAGGGGCTATTAATGGATTGGGTTTGGTTCGAGATAGCCTGTGACAATTGTGAACTGATTTTTTTATCAGGACAAAATACATATGTCTAGAACTGTCCCGATTAATAATTGGGATAATTACTTATATAAATAATAATCTAAAGTTTGATTTTTGATAATATAGTTTTAATAAAAATGATAATAAAATAGTACATTATTTATATGTTAATAAATCTAGTGTTTTTAATCAAAGTTGTCTTATATATTGTTTATTAAATTATAAAATTACAAGAAAAAAAACTTTATATTATTAACAAAATAATCGATTTAGGTTTGAATAAATTCAAAAGAATCAACATCCATAACGAACCCAATTATTAATTGAAACAAAATGACAAAACCAGAACCAATATAATCAATTCAATTGAGCTTAGTTAGTCAGGTAGAATCAACCCATTATCAGTCCTATCTTCAAACATGCCATGACCTCTGTTTGGATGAGTCCACGTTATGTGCACCTGTGGGTATACTGGACGAGTGCACCCGCCAATGGCCAGGTTGTCCATCCTAATGTTAATGGTAAAATTCACGTCAACCCAAGTTCGGCGATTCAATCGGGCACGAAACGGCCACAACATGGCCTAGAGTAATCAAAAGTCCCCCAACCCTCATTCAGCGAATTTTTTCATGCTGGATGTTTTCCTCCTTCCACCGAACCCTCCCTCTATTTACGGCGACAAGGAGAGCTCCGGCAATAGGTTTCTGGCCTCCTCTTCTCTTTTTCTTCTTCTTACAAGTGGCTCTCGGCGGCAACAAGGAGAGCTATGGACTTACATGACTCCGGACTAACATTGTAACTTCTCCCTCTACAGTCCCATTGTCGCCATTCCAATGAAGACCAAGATTTGGTATTCCATCAATGAGTTTGAGTTTTCTGTATCACTAGAAGTTCTTTGATTTTCTTCCGCCTAAGCTGAGGTAAGTTGTTTCTTTTCTTCAGTTCTTTCTTTGTTTCTTCTGTGTTTTTCTTTGCTTCTTTCGTTCTCATTTCATGTCGTCATTTTCCGGTCATATTCCTGCGTTGAGTGGCCGTCGGTTGTTGGCTTCTGCTGTTAAGAAAATATTGATATATACTAACTCCTTTCTCAGATTCAAACCGCCATTTTTCTTAAAGAAGAAGAAGAAGAAAATAGGAGGCCAGAAACCTTCCACTGGAGCTCTCCTGGGTTAGGCCGAGTCGGGCTTGGGTCGGGTTTTAGCTCTTTATCAATAGAAATTGTGCAGGTTTGAGTCCGAGTCCGGCCCGACCATTTGGGCCTAGATTTGAACCCGAACCCGACCCTTATATAAAATCTGATCAATATACAAAATGTCTTATTTTTAGTGTATTTTTATAAATTAATATTATATTAATTTAATAATAATTTAATAAATTAATAAACTAATCTATATTTTTTAATAAAAAATTAATATTTATTAATAATTTAAGAAACAAATATATATTATATATAATATAAATACTTTTTTATTATATATAAGTATCAAGCTGGACTTATAAAACCTGAGAGCGGCCTAAAAAATGATCGGACCTAATATTTAAAGCCCGAACCCAAGCCTATGGGCCTGAAATTTTGTCTAAACCCAAAAAATAATGGATGGGGCCATTGGACTACCCGATTCATGAACAGGTATAATCGCCGCCGATGGAGGGAGGTTTGGTGCGTGGGTAGGATTCAGTGGAAGGAGGAAAACATTCAGCGAGAAAAAAAAAAAAAAAAACTCGCAGAATGAGGGTTGGGGAACTTTTGATTATTCTGGGTCCGGTGTGCCCGATTGAACTGCCAAACCCGGGTTGACGTGCATTTTGCCGTTAACGTTAGGATCATATGATGGACGAGTTAGCCGAACATGATTGGCAGGTGCACAGAACGCGAACTCTGTTCGGATGGGGAGGAACTCTTACTGCAGCTAAAACATGCCCTATGACCTATGTATGTGATCCCTGATAAAACATGCACCATGCTAGATTGAGATTTGTATTATCACACCAAAATTAGTGTACTATCTAACCAGAGATTTAGAGGGGCAAATTGATTATAAAACTGGAAGAAACTGATCTATTTTTGTTAGTTTAGGGATTCTCTAAAATCTTGACAACTTCACTCAACTTACAGTTTTTGGTCAGTTGCAAATAGAAGCAGTTGCAGTATTTGCATCAATTTGTGTATGGAGAAAGATCAATTAGATGCAGACGGTCAAATACAAAGGAGAAGAACCCACACAACAACAAGATACAAATATGTCAAAAAGATAAGTGGATTCAATATTCATTAGCCCAAAAAGTCCTGAAAGGGGATTTATCACCAACTAGGAATTATTTGTTTGGTTGGTAATATATAAGTGTAAAGCAAAGCAATGATAAAGACCATGTTCCCACCGAAAGAAAAGGACGACCTCCCTACTCCCACAATAAATAAACCCATTTCCAGCAAACTACTTCACCTTCCAATCAACACATCTCATACTTTGATGGGTTGCTGTTTTGAATTCAAAGTTTGAAATCCTTAGTAACAAATTTCCCTTTTGTACCCTTTCAAGAAATAAAGGAGGGGGGGGGAATGGTAAAACCCAAACATGGAGTAGAATCTATCTATATGCCAACTGCAGCAGCCAGCAGTGCAGCTGCACCACCTCTGGCCCTCACTGCCCATAGGCCCCATGCCCACCTACGCAAATCTCAGAGGAAAGGTCAAGACAAGAGAGAGACTACAGTCTACAGAGAGAAGCAGGAACTAGAGAAAAGGCAAAAGCAGATCTCCACAAAAAGTATAAAGAAACCCACTTCGTGATTTGATTAGTTTCTTTGCCTCTCACATGATTAGTAATTGTATTAGGAAGCATAGGCTCCTGCCGAAGTATCCAAAGAAAGAAAATATATAATAAATAAATGAAAGGTGGAGGGGAGATTCTCCATCGAAGTTGCTTTCGTGGTTGCATTCACATCTTCGTTTCTCGTTTCCGGTATGTCCTAACCTCTGATTTCTTGTTTGTCTCGCCCTTTTCATCCTCTGCGTTTCGATTTTACCCATTTGTCCTTTGTTTCTCTAATTTTGTCTGCCGATTACTCCTTCGTTTCGTTCAATGTTAGTTTCGAGTCATGGGTTCTGATGGGTTCTTTTGAAGATTTCTTCTACTTGGTTTCCTAATATTCTGTTGTTCGGACTGGCTTTTCAATTTGGAGCTCTCCACCAGTGTTTTTTTTTTTTTTGTGACCTGAGTTTGAAGAGTTGGGTATTGTTGTTCATACATGTTTCATCAAAGGTATGTACTGTTACGTCATGGAATGAGGGCTCTCGGACAATGGCATTTTCTTCTTTACCAAAAAAAAAAGACAATGACATTTGCTTTAAAATTCATTTTTGATAAATATGTTTCCGTCTGTATTTCCGCGTTATTTGTTCTGGATTGCATTTTGAATTTAACCTGTCTGAAGATGGTCTTTCATTGCTGTTGCTGGCGAATGTGGAAGGGTGTGTTATGTTTGCATTTTCAGTTTGAACAATGAATGAGGTTTTTGACTGACAGTTGATTCTATGATGTCTGGAAGGTGAAACATGGGTTTTGACTTTTGATTGATACTCAATTCATTTCGTTTCCAGGTGTGTGAGTTGTGGAATTCACTGAGAAGCGATTAGCTTCTCTGTTTGTAATTGCTGGAGACGGAACCGAAATTTCTTGCTATTTGCTAGACAACATGCTGTGCGCTTGCTCAGGGGAGCAATTCAAGTTTGAAGAGGTGCCTCTGTCACCAGAATCCTTGGCTACGAGGGACTTCTCAGTCAGTGGCCTCTCTTCCAGAACTGGTTGCGATTGGGACTCGAGGTTTGAAGATAGCCAGGTTGATGACGTCGAGTCCACTCTAAAGGAAGCTCTCTCTTTGAACTATGAGGTCGGTTCATATTTCATTGGTTCACCATAATCTTACGCCCTTGCTGTTTTTCCAGTTCTAGTCTTGATTTACTTTGAGGTAATTGAACGGCAGGAAGCCAGGGCTTTGTTGGGACGACTAGAATATCAGAGAGGGAACCTTGATGCAGCACTTCAAGTATTTCAAGGGATTGACATTCGAGGTTTAACACCTAGAATGATCAAGTCTATCATTCATAGAACTCGGCAAAGGAAAGGCCGTCCCAAAGGTGATAACATGCAGATGGGTATAATGTCAATGCACTCTGTGAGTCTGCTTCTTGAAGCAATATTGCTTAAAGCAAAATCACTGGAGGAGCTTGGTCGTGTTAAAGGTACTTGGTTTTGTCCTCTAATTAGAGCTTAATTTTTAATTAGATTGTCTGAAATTGCGACATATTTTTATCTTAATTTCCTTGTTGATCGTTAGGATTGAATAGAGTTTGCTTTCTTTAAAGTCAAGAGTGCTTGAGCACCATGTGAAAATCATGAGTAATGATTCATGGGCTCGGTGTTCCAATTTTTATATCAAGAAAGAAAGCAGTATTTGTTAAAGCTGATTGTTGTAATGGTTTTCATTTACATGAAAGAAATAATTAAATAAACAAGGATATATCTTCAGGTTCCTATTTTGTCAACCATGAAAATGCACACCCTGTGGTGGTACAGAATTAAACTGATGCATATTCAGGGAGGTGTGGTTCTTACTTGTTCAATTTGTTCCATCCACAAAATATTCTCTGCCAAACATGAAGCCCAGTTAATGATCCTAACCATATAGTTGATATACAAAGTTTATTATGTACATTCATGATTAGGATTTCTGATTAGGTCAGTTTTGGCAAGAAGATAACTGATGCTGGCCTCATTAATTCGGGGACCCCACCTCCTTGAATATCATTGGCATCCATATGGTATACCTGATGATACTTTAGGTTTCTAAAATGTAACTTTTCAGATGTTTTGATACAATTTTCCCCTGTTGTAAATCATCAGAGGCTGCAAGAGAGTGTAAAATAATTCTGGACACAGTTGAATCTGCTCTACCTAATGGGATGCCTGAAGGTATTACTGAGGACTGCAAGTTGCAAGAGATGCTCCACAAAGCACTAGAGTTGCTTCCTGAGTTATGGAAACAGGCCGGATTTCTTGATGAAGCCATTGCTGCATACCGTCGGGCTCTAACAAAGCCATGGAACTTGGATCTGCAGAGGTTGGCTAGTGTTCAGAAGGAATTAGCCTCACTTTTACTCTATGGTGGTGTTGAGGTAAACCTTCCCCCTCAATTGCAAATATGGGGCCCAAATACCCCCAAAAGTAGTACAGAGGAAGCAATCCTGCTACTGTTTATACTCATGAAGAAGATGGCATTTGGAGAAATCAGATGGGATCCTGAAGTTGTGGACCACCTGGCCTTTGCTCTTTCAGTCTCTGGTCAGTTTAAGTTTCTGTCAGATCACATTGAAGAGGCCCTCCCAGGTGTCTACAACCGGGCTGAAAGGTGGTACCTTCTTGTTCTTTGTTATAGTGCTTCTGGTCAGAATGAAGTGGCCTTGAACCTTCTGAAGAAGGTCTCAGGTCGTTCTGAAGCAAAGCATGAACCCCATCTTCCTGCACTTCTATTGGGAGCAAAGTTGTGTTCTCAAAATCTAGGACATGCACATGATGGAATAGATTTTGCTCGGAGAGCAATTGACTTTGCTAACAATCACAACAAGCATTTTATGGGTCAGGCTCATCATTTTCTTGGTCTTTGTTATGGGAATGCTGCTAGATTTTCTTTATCAGATGCTGAAAGGGTTTTCCTTCAGAGTGACTCTCTGAAATACCTCAATACTGCTGCCTTGCTTGAGGAAAAAGATCCAGAGGTGATTTTCAGCCTCAGTTTGGAAAATTCTTTCCAGAGGAACCTGAATGCTGCTTTGCAAAATGCAAGAATCTATCTAGATATGGTCGGTGGGAGCTCTGGAAGAGGTTGGAAGTTATTAGCCCTCATAATCTCTCAAGAGCAACGATTCAAAGATGCTGAAACCATTGTGGACATTTCTCTGGATGAGGTTGGAGGAAGAGATCAATTAGAACTTCTAAGGTTGAAGGCAGTGCTTCAGATTGCTCAGGAGCAACCCAATAAAGCAATAGAGACGTTCAGAATTTTGCTTGCTCTGATTCAAGCACAGAAGGAACGCCATTCTAAAAATTCTGATCCTGAGGTGTGTAGAACTTTTGTTGCATATTATAAGTATTTTGTTTATTATTGTCATGACAATCTATCCTAGTGTTTCTTGCCCTGAGGTTTCTGTGGAGAACTAAGCTGGAGCATATTATTTTGATAGCATGCAATGATCTCTACCTAGAAGGCTAGATATTGTCTTGAATATGCCTACCCATAACTTACCCATGGCAATAGCATGCTATTCTTAGACAAAGTGGCATTTAAACTGTCATTTAGAATATCATTTGTTACTTTTTCTTCCCTATTTTATGTTTATGACTATGTGGCCTTTCCTTACACTTGGTTTCAGTATAGGGTTTTTTCTTCCTACATTTTTCTTCTTGTAATGTAAACATATATCTTCTCTCAGAGGTGCAACATATCTGTTTAGAGATCACTTTGGTAATTTTTAATGGTTGGCCTCTCATTTTATGGTTCTATTCATTGAGTTTTACTTGCATTAACCTTTTTGTAAGTTGGGACACAGGGATGCATGTGCTGTTGGCAATTGTGTCATTTCCTAATCCTTAAATTTGTATTTCTCTACCATTTCAGTTTATAATAATGTGCATATGTGCATCTTTATGTGTCTGGATCGAATTGTTGTAAAGAATTGCTATCATGTGGTATTCCCTGCATCTTCATATGTGCATTCTTCTTCTTTCCAACTTGCATGAACTAAATAGCCAATGCTGAATATATCAGATTATGCTTCAGAGCTCATTTTGGGTGGCCCATAAATGCCTTCAACTCCTGATCAAATGTAATTTCTAGTTTTCAAATAAATTCTTAATGTATCACCCAACAGCAGAAAATTTCAGACTATGCTGCAAAAATTCCCTTGCTTGGCCAATAAATACCAGCATTCTAAGTCCAGAGGATAAATAAATTATATTTTAGATAACATATTTCTTAATGCATTACCCAGCCACTTAAGCTAGGCACCCCAATGCCAGCTTTGCTTCAGGCAGCTGGGTGCTCATGTTATTTGCCTTTAGCAACCATTGCATCTTATTGTATCGTGTTATGGTTTTTATTACTTCTCTTGGTTCATAACTATATAGTTTTGATTTGTTTTTTTGTTAATGTTTTGGTATTTGTTGTTATTCTATGATATAGTGAAGTATTATAACGTGAGAATCAAGACACCTAGCTAAGGGATGGAGTTTAGGGTCCTCAAGTTTTTATTACAAATTTGTTTGAAGATGCTCTTTGTTATATGACATTTTATTTTCTTTTGCTTATTTTTTTTCTTTATGCTTTACAGACAATGGCAGAAGCAGATATTAAAATAGAGATTGAGGCCTGGCAGGATTTAGCTGAGATTTATACAAAATTTGGATCATGGCCTGATGCAGAAATTTGTCTGGATAAAGCCAAGTCAATTGGAATTTTCTCTCCAAGGAGTTGGCATGCAACAGGTTGCAATATCTTCCTTTTTTTCACTTTTGCTTTGTCAGTGTCAGCATTTAACCACTTCTTTACAGTGGATAATTTATGTGGGCAATGTTTAATTCCCTTAAACTCCACTTCATCTAACAAAGCCTTTGCTTCTGCTCCAACTTTTGTTTGCTTGGGTTCTACAAACCAACATAATCTTTGATCTTTGTGTTCTTTGATTTAATAGAGTGGATGTTGACTGTTGAGTTAAATTTTCACAGTTCTTGCAGCATTAGATTGAATGCCTGTTTTAGTGAATTTATTATATTTGCATTATAGTTTTATCAAAGTATTTAATTAGTTTGAGTTTATGTGAGAAAGTGTTTTTATTGTTGTCAATTTTTCCTTGTCAATGCATATAACTAGATATGATGGTAATTTTCGAAAAGATAAACTGTAGATGAACTTGATCTAACTGCTATTGGGTGAGTGTTCGACCTAGAAAAGTCTTGCATATGGTCAGTAATATTTAAACACTTGCTAGAACTACTTAGCACGTGCCTTTAGCTAGTTTCCTCCTTTATGTCTAGTTTCACATTTAACCTGACATGTGTTTTTTAATATATTTGCAGGGATACTATTCGAAGCTCAGTCATTGTACAAGGAAGCTCTTGTGGCCTTCTCAATTTCACTTTCAATCCATCCAGACCATGTACCTAGCATGGTTTCTACAGCAACAATACTAAGAAAGCTTGGGAGGCAATGCCTTCCAATTGCGAGGAGCTATCTCATGAATGCTTTACGTTTAGAACCTACAAATCATGAGGCTTGGTTAAATCTTGGATTTGTCTCAAAGATGGAAGGTTCACTACAGCAAGCTGCAGACTTTTTTCAAGCAGCGCATGAGATCAAACAGTCAGCTCCTGTTCAGGATTTTTTGTCGTTATGATTATCCTCCCATACATATGAGACACATTAGGATGAGCAACTTTACATGACATCATTTTCTGGAATGCCTGCTGCTTTACAAAATTCCACCTGGGAAACAGAATACAAATACTGTGGAGGTACCCAGTCAACTCAAACTTGTCTTGAAGGCCATATCCTGCAGTTGCAATTCAGAGTTATTCTGGGTATTTCTTTGTAATCTTCATGTCATCTCTCACATTTAAAATGTATATACATTACCTAGCAAGTGAACTTCTCAATGAAATTCTGGCCAGAAAAGTTACCAATTTAAAAAGGTCAAAAATGTTGAATTCTGGCCTTGGATTTGATCTACTAAAAGCATAATGCATGTCCATTTCCCAGCAATAATGTTGTATTAACCACAGCCATTTTAGAAAAGTTTTAATAGAGTGCTTGCACATGTTCTGTACTGGTTTAAGCGGTTTGGAGCTGAGAAAGGATTAATGATGGGGGATATCTAAAGCACAAAAAATATTTTCACATGTATTTTGTGGAGATGCTGTTGCACATACTTCACCCTTTAATTTCACGGCCGAACATGTTCCTACGTTTTTACGTTTTTCCTAAGAATAGCTTGATACTTGTTGGTCTATATTATTGTGGATTAAATTGGGTCATATCGCAAAATATCATCCACATCAAATCTTGTGAATTAAACTGAGCTACAGGAATGTGATCAATCTTTTTGGTTTTACAATAAATTATTAAGATACTTTATTCAAAATTAGTTGGACAAAGTATACGCCACAATACAGAACCCTTTAAGAGGGTGTGGTGTGATTCTTATGGCTGTGTTTGGAAGCGATGCAATCATGCAAATGCAAATTTATACACTGCATTTCTGCATCTACCCCAGTTTGATAAATGCAAAGTGGTCCAGTTTTCCATGCCCACTTTGCACTCTTTTTGTTTGTTTTCGGTCATGGACTCATGGCAAATCTTGAAGCTCTAACGGTTGACCTGTACACAATTTCTTCATTGGCGGCCCTGTTTATTAATTGATGCCTGTGTTGGGTCCTCCAGCAACCCCAACCAGTCTCCGACTGTGAGACTCTCCATCTTTTCTTTTTTCCTCCAAATCCGTCGATGCGCCTAACACCCATCGTCCCTTGCCTTTTGTCTTCATCTTGTGAGTAACTGCTTGCCTTCTCCACTATTAACGATCACATTGCAAAGAGAGTATGCTTTCACGATTTAAAAATAAATCCTTCAAAAGAATGATTTATGGTTTCAGACATAAAAACCTCAAGTAATTGAGTGAAAATACTGTTTAATTACTTAGTCACTACCTGTATCTGATCTGTCATTGCTTTTCATCACCTCTAATTATCATCGTCGCTTGTCTTCTTGGTGAAGATGACTGGTTTAAAAGGGAGAGAAGGTCGAGCAAGGATGAGAGAAAAATGGTTATTGATGTCCATCTCTAGTGAAACAATGTGGAAAGTGACAATTGACAAGGAAGAGAGAAAATGTTGCCTATTACCTTTGATGGATGAAGAGAGGAAACTTGTACTTCGATAAAAATGAAGTAAACATTTACCCTCATAACCAAAATAAACGGGCCTTTTGCGTCCATTTGCAATGCATTTTCACACGCTATCCAAATGTCTGCAAAATCAAATCGGAGGAAATTATAGCACCGATCCAGTGTTTGCATTGCAACCAACCACAGTGGTGAACAAAATATCCATAACCCAATAAACAATCCCGCTCTGTATTAGAAATATTTCTTCACTAATAATAAATACAAATACGGGAGATGTTCTATCAGGATATGCTGTGAGGAGCTGACTTTAGTTTTTTTTATTGTACAAAATGGCTGATCTCAGACTCCAATCTACATTCTCACATTTGCCAGCCTAAGATTTTACAACTACAAAGTAACGCCTTTACCAGTCATTAAAATCGAGTTTGATAAGTTATAAAATGAGTTTGGGTTTCCTTCTCACACACACCTCACAGCATGTTACAGCCCTACATGAAATCATCTCCTGTATTTTTTTTTTTATATTTGTATTTGTATTTATATATTTATTATATACTTTTGTTTATGGAGAGATGTTCTCAATGCACGGCTGCAACTGCAAGAGTGCTGTAAGGCGGGTATGAAGAGCAATCTGTGAGGACCAATTCCAGTCACTCGTCTCGATCTATGATAGTTAATTATGTTGGCATTGGCTGGCCTAGAATTTGGTTAGGCCTAAACGGTTATCCGGCCCTGATCACGACAAATGTTGCCACGTGGAGGATCCTGTACTATCAAAACTCTCAAAATGATCCAATAAGCAGAGACGGGATGGGTTTCCTCACAGAGTGCGCACCACGGCCCATACCTCCCATGAATTGGGTTACGTCTCCCATATGTGGGGTGCCCATCCTAATGTACGGCTGCAATGATTGGTTAGAATGATATTGACGAGGCTGGATCTATTACTCACATAGGGCATTTCATACCGATCTCATGCACATCCTATCATTGGAAACATCTCCCATATTTGTGTTAATAATCAACTGATTCAAACTTATGGATTTGTGGCTTGAATCTGCTACCCATAAGCTGTTCTCATATCTCTGCCTACGAGACATTGCAACTGCATATTGCATATTGGGTTGTAATTCATGAGGAAATATTCTCAATACACGGTGGTGATACTTTATGGGTAGGGATGTGGGAAGTGGGAACAATTTGTGTAGCAGATGCGGAATGGGCTTATACATCCGAACCGGAAATGGGCCTTAATCGAGCTCAAAATGAATACAAATATTGATCAGGCTTCGTTCCGCGCTCTTCGTCAAAATGGGCCCAGTAGCATATTACAATCACCCAAAATTTAGGGCTACCGGCTACAAAGGGAGGGATAAAAGGAGATGAATGAGATCTCCCGCGGCTCCTCTCGGCCATTTTAGCTTTCAAGTCGTTAGGTCTGTACCTTCTCTTCTGAGCGGGCGCTTCAACAGCATCAGCAATGGCCGTCGGGTTTGTGTTTTCATCTTATTGTTGATTGTACTTATCAGTCTATTTGATAGTTTCCAGGTACTCAGAATTGTTTGATTCGTTGATTTTCAGGAAGAACAAGAGGATTTCCAAGGGAAAGAAGGGTGGGAAGAAGAAGGCGTAAGTTAGAGTTTGATTTCTGCAGTATCTTCGTTTGATCTTTTATTTAAGGTGTTTTGTTTTGTGGTTCTTTTTCTTCACTTTAGTTGTCGATGGTGATTTACAGAGTCGATCCCTTCGCTAAGAAAGATTGGTATGATATCAAGGCCCCGTCAGTCTTCAACGTGCGTACCGTTGGAAAAACCCTAGTGACAAGGACACAGGGTACCAAGGTTAGGCATGCTTATTAACTTGCATTTTTTTGAACCCGAACTTCAGATCAGTGCCGAGGTGGATCTGTTTTCTTTGGCTGTGTTAAAACTGCTTATTAACTTTAAACTTGCGATGATTACTAGTATGTTGAAGAAGAATCCAGTTTTTCCTTTTCTTTTATAATCTTATCTAAATATTATACCGGAGGGTTTTCTCAATTAACCATGACGCTAAGAGTTGTCATGAACTAAAAACGAGTTGCTCCTACCAAAAGAAAAACCCTAATAGCGAGTTGCATCTATCACTTCCGCATCGTTGATCCCATTTGACTGCTATGGATAAGGGCTCTATGCACTGATAGTTATTTATATTATTATTTGCAAATAGGTAATTTTGTGACATCAGCATCCCGACTTTACCTGCAATTCTCCAATTCAAATAAGATACTTCCATTGTGCATGAAGTCTGGCTGTGTTGTGTATGGTTCATTGGTGGGGGATGCGAAAAGTTACCTCTTGATGCTGCCCTTGGGTAAAAATGGCCTCAAATAGTAACATTCTTACCATTTGAGGGAATACCTTTGGCAGCAAAGCACAACGCCAAAACACCCTGATGGGCTAAGGGAGTATCTTTGGGGTATTTGGATCAATATGCATATAAGTGTTGCTTACGGGTATATTGCTTCACCCAATCATGGAATTTCAGCAATGTGTTTTTTTTTCAAGCTTAAGCAGCAATTTTGTGGTTGTTAGGAAGAATCTCAAAGGGGATGCCTTGGAGTCTTGATCCCAATCCAAGAAATAGGCGGATTGGAAGTTTCACATGCCTGAATTGTTGATTTCTTGAATATGTTTTATATGTTATGCTTTGTTTCAACATTTTCACTTTGAATATGGTTTGCATGTTATGTTTATGTATTTTAATTTGAGTCAATGGGTTTTTAAACATTAAGCTTCTTTTAATATTTAAGTTCTTTAATTAATATTGTTTTGGTTATTTTGATTTTTTTAGAAAATTTGCCCCTGCTTCAAAAATGGATGTACCATGCCTTGCATCTGGTGCCTTGGGTGCAAAAACCCCTCGTGCTTTTAAAACATTGATGGGATGGCAATTTTCCCCATTCCTCACAGGGACCTGCCCTGAATGGGGCGGGGATGGGAATGATTTTTCTCCTGCCGGAACAGGGATGGGAATGATTTTTCCCCTGTCGGAACAGGGATGGGGCGGGCACTCCCCGTCCCGCGGGGACCTCGATCCCTGCTAATATATATTTATATATGTACACATATGTCTATATATGTATATATGTACACAATCTATATATTAATATTTTTAAAATTATGGTTGAATATGTTTGAATCATTTTTAATATGATTGTAAATTTTAATTATTTTATTTTTTATTTTTAAATAAAATAAAAACAAAAACAAAATGGTTGACATTAAAAAATCATGGGGAGTGGGGATCCCCACAGGGATGGGATAACCTTGTCCCTGTTGGCGTGGACGGGGACAGGGATGGGGACGGGGACGGGGACAGTGAGTGGCTCCCTCTGCCCGCCCCGTTGTCATTTCTAACTTCTTAAAAGTATAAAACTGTGTTACCTTTGTGCAATGCCCACTCCAACATATGACAACTTATACTCAAGCAGGAATTCATTTTTCTCAACTATGCTAGTTTGATGTGTGCATTGATGAACTACTACGTTTTGAGACAAGTTTTGTTTTCTTTACTATTGGTTTTTTCTCTTTATTTTTAACGATTGCCCTATTCAGCGATTAAGGGAGTAAACCTAATCTTCTCCAAACTATTAGCTTATGGTTTCTCTCTTTTTGTTTTAATTCACTTATAGTGCAGGCTTCTTATTTTTTCCTTGGCCACCTAAGTGAGGTCGAGTCGCCCATCCCTCTTCTCCTATTCCAATGCCAAAGGTATTCAATGTCTAGGATAGCCCTTCATGTCACAAGTTTCATGGTGATGATGCCTTTGGTTTGCTACGAAGACACCGTTTTATATGGTTCATTTTCCTAGATCTTTAATTTCATTCCTGGACAGTCACTGGCAGTGGCAGTTTTTTTTTCTTTTTTATTTTTAGGTGATAATTCACTCTGTATCTCACCTTGGCAGGCTTGTATCTATTAACTTCAGTCTCTGACTATCATATCCTGAATCCAGCGTAAAGAGTTGGGTTGTGAATACTTTAGTGATGGTTGTTGAATGCATTTCTAGTGATACAAGTTAGGGTCGTGGTTCCTTGTTTGGAGACCTGGTGAATGGGATACCAGTGAGCATTGGGGGCTTAATTTTTATTGTGTTCTGTTGTTCTCATTGGAGTGCTTCTAAAGTATACATTTTTGTTTCTATCATATGGTTCCTTGACAGTTGAAGAATTCTCATTTCTTTCATGGTGTATCCAATCACTGAATAGGATGTGCAGTTTTTCTCATGTTGCTCCTTTTGGTGCTATTATTGATTTGCACTTATCATGTTACCTTTCTAGATAGCATCTGAAGGCCTTAAGCATCGAGTTTTTGAGGTTTGCCTTGCTGATCTCCAAAACGATGATGACCAATCATACAGAAAGATTCGTCTCCGTGCAGAGGATGTACAAGGAAGGAATGTACTTACAAACTTTTGGGTATGAAACAAAGCATATTGTCTTCATTGATTTGGTTCAGTGTGTTTTGTGCATGTTCTTGAGTTTTTTCTCTTATCTTCCAGGGCATGGATTTCACCACTGACAAGCTTAGATCACTAGTGCGCAAGTGGCAGACACTGATAGAGGCTCATGTGGATGTCAAGACAACGGACAATTACACTCTTAGGATGTTCTGTATTGGTTTTACCAGGAGACGTCCTAATCAGGTGAAGCGTACTTGCTATGCTCAAACTAGCCAGATCAGACAGGTATTACCAGCTGCTGCTTGTTTCAGTTAACCTAGCATTGCTTATCTTCTATTGCGCTTGAAATTTATTGTATTTTTATCATTATATTATTCAGATCCGCCGGAAGATGAGAGAAATAATGGTCAACCAAGCTACATCTTGTGACCTGAAGGAGCTGGTGCAGAAGTTCATTCCTGAAGTCATTGGGAAGGAGATAGAGAAGGCAACATCAAGCATCTATCCTCTCCAGAATGTCTTCATCCGCAAAGTAAAAATCTTGAAGGCCCCCAAGTTTGACCTTGGAAAGCTGATGGAGGTAAGTTTTATTAATTTTTGGTAGTCCATGTTTGCCTTCATGGAGGAGAACCTGCTTTACTTTTTAGTCTTTCTGTTTTTTTTTTTTGGTTTTGGCATTTGTATTGCATTCTTACATCTTGAATTGGTTGATGTGCTTGCCACTGGCAGGTCCACGGTGATTACTCTGAGGATGTTGGTGTTAAAGTGGATAGGCCTGCTGATGATACTCAAATGGAAGGGGAAACAGAAATTGTTGGGGCTTGAAGATGAGGTTTATGTTTATGAAATCATGGGATCTCTTTAAGTTGCAACGGAACTAATTATTTTTAGCAGTTTTTTCGTGGACCCAGCAATTTTGGTAGTTGAAAAATAGTCATCCTTATTTTGGCATATCAAATTTTTTAAACGAGGTTGGACGTTGGAGTTCTAATTGATTACTTATTTATGAATGCATTAGCCATTAGGATTACTTGCAGGTTATTTATTGGTGTATGTTTTCTTTAAATAATTCAGTTGTTCCATCTATGCTGTTGGTTTTATTGATCATAACTTTTAATTACACCATTAAAGTATTGTTTAGAGAGGATGAAAATGGGGGGAATGGGTGCCTGTAAAGAATGCATCCCTTTTTTTTCCTGTGGGTTGCGGAGCCGAATGACGTTGAGCAGCAGAATAAAAGTGTGTTGAGTAACAGCATTAATTGGCAAAAATTACTCAAGTACTCGAGCAGCTTTCTGGGACTGTAGGGCTATGCTTGGTTTGATTCAAACCATACATAGCGTAAGGGTTCCCACATGGGCGATGTTTAACTTATTTGCATTTACCATAAGCCTGAGATCAAGCCTTTTCACTTGTTGATGAGGCATGCGCAACATTTTTGGAGCAAAAACCCGGAATCTCTTCTGGATGTGTGGTGTGTAATGTTTGCAGTGCTTCGCAGTCGGAGAGAAGCCATGGTTTTGCTAAAGAGATTGGTAATTTTGTATGTTGATGCTTAGTCGTATTAACCACGAAAATGCCCAATAGTAGCGTTATTTCCTTTTTGAAGGCGCAATTCTTTTGGTGGGTGATAACACATTATCAATATGTTTAATTTAGATGTAGCAGACTATATGATAGATCGAGATAAGATGCAGAGGTCCAGAAACCGCCGATATTGCTTGCTTATAAATAACTAGCCGTTCTTTTATTTTTTATATGTTAATCAACATATCCTTGGTGAGAAATACCAATCAAAGGCATTGTCAGATGGCAAATAAGAAGTGAGCTTTTAGGCTCCGTTTGGTTTGTGGGATGGGGATGAGAAAAATAGAATATTCTGAACATATTTCTTTTTTTCATATTTGTTTTGAGGAAAAGAGGGGGATGGGATGAAAAAAAGGTGGGATGTGAGATCCCATAATTGTGGATTTGAGGTCACACGGTGGGAAAACTTGAGAAAACGACCATGCTGAAGGTTCCACGCGCATTAACAACAAAGTTTCTGCTACCTTCACATCCTTTACCTTTTAACTCTTCAACGCTGACCTCATCTTCTTCAATTTTAGTCGGACAATCCCACTCACTACCTTCTCTTGTTCTATCTGTCTCTGTGTCATGGGGAACTACACTTCTTGCATGCTTGCCAACCCAGCAGGAAGATAGTCAAGAGGTGCAAAGGTGATCCTACCAACCGGCGAAATCCGGCAACTCGACGGTCATGTCAAGGCGGCTGAACTCATGTTCGAGATACCCAAGTACTTGGTGAATTCCCAATCACTGCAAATAGGATAGAGGTTCTCAGTGCTTAGCGTCGATGAAGATTTAGAAATGGGTAACGTCTATATCATGTTTCCAATGAAGAGAGTCAATTCTGTTATCAAAGTAGCAGGCATGGGAGCCTTGTTTATAAGTGCGAACAGGGCTGCCAACCGGGCTTCGAGTGTTGGGGTGGTGCGCATCGTGTCGAGTATTGGGGTGGTGCACATCAAAAGTTTAGGTAATAACGTCGCCGATCACGACCATTCGACGTCGACGTCAACGTCAACGTCGCCTCAAGGCCATACAAGTTATAGTGGCAATCGAGAATAAGCAGAGAGGTTGAAATGAGAAGAAGAAGAAAAAGAAGAGAGGAGAAAGAGAGTGAGAGATGAAGGGGGTAGCCATCGCCTCTGTTCATCTCGAACGAAGGAGGAAGGTGAACAATTCCATTTCGGTCCCCTTTTACACTTTCCCATCCCATCTCATCCCAATAAAACCAAACAATGGAAAGTTAAATTTTTACACTTTTCCATCCCATTCCATCCCACCCACATCTTCCCATAAACCAAACGAAGCCTTAGGTTACAAGGATGTATGTTCTATATGGTTTTTTTCAATGCAATCCTCGTGATCTAAGATGACTGTGCTTGTTAATGTAAGTCTCCATTTTTGGATGTAGCGGTGTCAATTGGATTGGATTGGACCAAATCCAATCCAGTCCAATGCATGGTTCAATCCAATCCAATCCAATTGAACAGAGGTTTGGGTTCAATCAAATTTGGCAAAGGTGTATTGGTACTTAAATACACATGGAATTTTTTTAGGTTTTTTTTTTCAAAATTTGGTTTTTGGGAAGATAGTTAAGCATATTTTTTATTAAAAAAGAGGGGTGGGGTCCTGAAACATCTGTAAACAGGTATTTTGAACCTTGGCCCAATGCGAGTCCATTACAAATAGAGCAGGTTCAATTCAATCCAATGAATATTTATTTTGGACCAGTCCAATTCAATGTCTGGACCTTTCAATCTGTTCAAATTTGATTTAGTTTAAATTGGTTTTAACCCAAACCTGGTCCATTGACATCTATATTCTTATCTTCTATCAATGGATCCGATATTGTCTTAATCCAACCCAATCCAATATAAATTTATTATGGAGCAACATCGACACAGGCTGATACTTTGAACCATGGTTCAAAGGATCTAGAATAAATAAGTTTTAATTATTGTTTTTTCAAAACCGATTTAGAGTGGTTGGTTTAAGGCCCGATTACCCTTTGAACCATGGTCTGACCCGATACAACCCCTGGAAGGACATATCGAGAAGCCATCGGCACGATACGTATCAGCCCATATATATCAATACTTTAAACCTTAATTCAATGTCATGTTGGTCTGACAAATCCGTCCAAAATGATTTTGATTTGGATAGTCCAATCCAAAACAGGTCCATTGACACCTCTAGGAGTCTAGATCTGCCGACCACATCTGCAACGTCTTATAATCATTCATGGGTGATGTTCTTGGCTTCAATTTGTCGTGGTTAGCATATCCAAACTTGGTTTCGAATGGTTGCACATCCCAATGTTTCTTAGTCTCCCTCCTTTTACCGGCTAATACATGATGGGTGGATTGAATCCACCTCTCCGTAAACAAGCTTAGAAGGTTTATATCAGTAAACAAGCTAATATGACATTGAGATTTCTATGGCTAAAACTTAAAAGTAGGATTACTTTTTCATTGTTTTCACATTGAAATCAATTTCATTAGCAAGCAGTAGTATGCAATAATTATTTACAACTGATGCCAAAAGCAACATGGACATGAACATACAAGATCCACGTCCTCCTGCTCCCAATTGTCTTAAATATATGGCATTGATCGAGTGTCACTCTCAGAAAATGTAAATATATGGGGATGGTGGATGGGGGGGAGGGGGGGGGCTCTATATGATACGTGTTCAGGTTCACATAAAACAGTTTATTTAGAAGTAAAATTATATTGTTTTTATTTTTTAATTCGAATTTTAAACTTACCGCTCATCAGTCATCACTCCTTTTTCATCCCATGGGGCATGGACCAAAAACGTCATGGAGCTGTGGATATTCAACGGAAAGATTAATGGCAATGGCAGAATCCATCTTCGTTTTTGCTAACAGATCTGCTAAAAATCATCATGTCAGCCCATTTCTCATTCTGTTAAAAAAGAAGTCATTGACCAAAAAAGTCATGGAGCTGTGGATATTCAATGGAAAGATTAATGGCAATGGCAGAATCCATCTTCGTTTTTGCTAACAGATCTGCTAAAAATCATCACGTCAGCCCATTTCTCATTCTGTTAAAAAAGAAGTCATTGACCATTGTGATTAAGGTCTTGAGGGCAAAACAATCCCTTTCATCATCCTTCTGCTAATTAATGTCGTTACAGAGACTTCCCTTCAAAGTTGGGAAGAGTCCTGAGAGAGAAACAAATTGCAAAACCAGACTGGAACTGGAGCTTTTGGATTCATAATTTCTTTTATCTAATGCTAAAAGCAGAAAATTATCTAAAAGAAAAATAACTACAACCTCCTGTCCTTCTTGAGTGACGATCTTTTCGCTTAATTACTCATTTCTGATTTTTCAATTGGAAGGACAGCTCCATTCCTCACAGAGCATTCTGTTATGCCCTAGCAGTAGGGACTAGGGAGTGCAAGACTCTCAAAGTCTAAACAAATCCATTAGCAACAAGTTAACAACGAATCTAACCGAACATCCCCTCCATCTCCACCCACAAAACCCAATTCCTTTCGTCCCCTTCCCAACCCAACAACAGAAATTCACAGATTTGCCATCCTAGGTCTCTCTCACTTCATCGGACCCTTCCCAGAATGCAAACCCACTCAAAACTCGGTTCAAAGCAAGGATGGAAGTCATCAATCAATGGCAACAGCATCGGCAGCAAACCCCAATAATTTCTCCCTCTTTCTTCCGTAAACAGCCCCATAAACAGTTGATTACATCACCTTTTCAACCCTCCAAATGGCCACAAAATGCCCAAGGGCAACAACAATACCAGCACAACCCATATTTTAGCCATTGCACTCCTTCAAAAGGCTGCAAATTTTGGAGTATCAGCCCTGGTCACATCACATGGCATCGTCCATTGACGAGTTCAGAACAATGAACCATGTTGGTACCAACCAGGAACTAGGATGCCGCCGGGCTGTCTGTGACGGGATCTGCATCTCACACAGGGGCGCCTCACAAGCACATCCACCGTGCATAGAACATCTCCCGTGCCCAATGCATGGTAGGATGTATGGATGTGCCTGTAAGGTCGATGTGAGGCGCCCTACGTGAGGAGCAGATTCGGTCTCGGGCTGTCTGGGATTCCGATCAAGAAATCTAGCGATGTGACGGAACCGCAAAAATATATTACTTCTGACGACAGACTTTCCGGGTTTAACAGGTCATTGACTCATTGTGGAGGGGAAAACATGGGTGGGTAGCATTTACCTGGCTAAGTTACAAACGAACAAGGCCTTGATGTAATCAAGACATCTCCTTTCCCCAAGGAATCTGGGTATTAAGTGAATGCATGCAAGTTTATAAAGAAAAAAAATAGAGACTCGCTAAGATGGGAGACTTATAGGTTAAGATTTATGGGGTTGTTTAACTCAAGGTTTTTAAAATCAGACAAGGAATCGTTTTGGGGTCTAGTTATTGTATCAAATGGTTCGATTGTTTGGTCCAAACGGATAGCCTGTTCTAATAAAAAATAAAAAAATAAAAATAGTTAAAAATCTGTTGTTCAATTTAATGGTTTAACCACTCAAGTCAATAATTCACTTCACTAACCAAATTAACAGTTTTTGACAAAAAAAAAAACAATTTTGAACAATCTTGGCCCATTGATCAAGAGCATTGCATGCCAGAAGTGAGAAATATTCAATGTGGGAATTACTTCTGATATGACCATATGCTAATTGATTTAGTAAAGGATTTTTGGATTTTGTTTTTTCAAGTCTTGAGTTGTACTTTATCGTTCATAAAACCGGAAGTTTCTATTATGTTGGCCATCATTTATGGAAAATCCTAATTATATAAGTATATTTTCTTTCACGGTTTATAATTTTAGTATGTTTTTATTTGCTTTTGGTTTTTAAACTTGGATTTGTAACAAGTCATAGTGAGATTTTGAGGATTAGGCTTTGATTTAGATGAGTGAAAGAGTATTTGTGTCTTTTCAAATGTTATTTAAAGGCAGTTATCGGCATGTTTTAAAAGTTTGAATACTGAATTTTCACGTTTTAAAAGTTCGGGCACCAAAATGACATTATACCTAAATTATAATTACTAATATAAGGGCAACTTTTGGGGTTTAATATCAACAAAAGTAATATATTTAAAAAATTTTCAAAAATGGGTTAACTTTTTAAAAATAATATCAGGCAAAAACACTGTTCATCATCTTCTTCTTGCCATATGTTCGAGCCGCCATCCACCCACCTTTGCCTCCGCCTCCGGCAACATTGCTGAAGGTGGCCAGAGGCAAAGGTGGCGGTGCTGGTGGTTTCTTTGTTCAACGCCACCACCTCCGCCCATCTCCGCCTCTGCCTCCGGCAACGTTGCCAGAAATTGGTGGGGCCAGAGGTGGTGGTGGCGACGAGTAGAGAAATGACCACCAGCTCTGCCTCCGCCACCTCTGAATGGGCAGAGGCGGCAGCGGGCGGTAGCGGACGACGATGGCGGGTGGTGACCGGCGGCGACGTACGGCAACTCTGATGAATAAATGGCAAGAAGAAGATGATGAACACTGTTTTTGTCCTTTATTGATATTATTTTTAAAAAGTTAACCATTTTTGATTTTTTTTAAATATATTACTTTTTATTGATATTAAACCCCAAAAGTTGCCCATTTATGCTATTACCCCTACATAATATCCCTTACCCGTAACAACTCTTCCATACCCAACGGTTTCACCTCTTACTTCTCTTCGGCCATGGAAGCTTCAACAGGAGCTCCCCGGGTTCCCGTTCCATCTTTTGAACCAGATAAAGAGAAGATCAAGCGAAAGCTCATACAGAAGGGTGTCTTCCCTACTTCCAAAATTGTCCACACGTTGCGGAAGAAAGAAATCCAGAAGTCTATACGAAAGGCGAAGCGCATGGCGGACAAAACCCCGGAAAAACCTCTCCCTGAATCTCAGAAGCGAGCCTTGGTGGAAGAAGCTCACTTTCAAACCTTAGCTCGAGAGTACAGAGCGTTTACGAAGAACTTGAAGGCAAAAAGTGGAGGGAGAAACGGATTATTGATGGTAGGGAATCCATGGGAGGGATTGGAGAGAGTTAGACTGAGAGAACTTGCCAGCGTGAGTAAGGAGTACACCGGAGAGAAGCTTAGAGGGGAGAATTTGCAGGAATTGAGTGAAATTCTTGCCAAGCGGAACCACGACGATTTTCAGTGCCTTTTGGATGACGATATCGAAGAAGGAAGCTGTTTTATTGAGCAGGAAATTCGGTCTCCCACAAAGAGTCGTGGTGGAGATGCAGATACAATTCGGTTTCTCATAAACAGGTTAGCTGGTGTCAATTGATATTGTTAACCTTGGGAAGCATATACACGCATACTCTTTTACACATTGAAAGAAGAATAAGAAAAGTTGACAGCTAAAAGAGTTCTAGAAAAGGTTTGGATGGAAGTCCTTAACATCTCCCAACGTAGATACCCATAAAACTGGTTAGCTCTCAATTTCCTTGATGATTTTTATTATCAGTAACGCTTTTTCGGTAGATTTGATTATTCTATTGGGAAAGAGGTTATTGATGGTTTTGTAGAGTTGACAATAGGTAAAATTTTATTTGGCCCTTGCGGTGCTTGTTGAAATTCACGGTTTCTTTTTTGTACAGTTTAATTAAGATTTTGTGTTTTGTTACCAAGTTACTAATAATTATTTATACGTTAATATATATTTAGTTGTTGTTTCTTGTAGTCTCAGAAATTTAATATGCAACTCTTTTAATTGTTTTCTATGTTTAACACGTGAGTTTTCTTTCTATTATGCCTAAGGAGATCATGTTTCATTCTCTCTCTCTCTCTCTCTCTCAAAACTTAATAAAACATTCATAGAATCTTCTCCTTTGTACCCCAACAAAATTTGTTTGCGTTTCTACTATTTTATATCTATTATTGTTTATGCCAACTAATCAAGCATGTCTAATGAGGAGTTTATTGTGTAGGCTAAGTGCTTCAGACCTTAGTATGCATGACTGGAAATTTTCTAGGTTGATGAACCAGTCAGGGTTGCAGTTTACTGAACGCAATCTACTTAGAATTGTTGAAGGACTTGGGGCTATTGGCAATTGGAAACATGCATTATCTGTTGTGGAATGGGTGTACAATTCTAAGGAACACAGACATCATAAAAGCAGGTACTTTTTTTTTTTTTTTCAATTCATGTTTTGAGTTCATGGTAAAAAAAAAGAGAACTCCAAGAACGAATTATTTGTTGGACACGGGGTTGTTTTCTATTTTTCTCTTACTCCATTTTGTTTTCTTCATTTCTTCCTCTTCTTAGTCTTTTTTTTTTTTTTTTCGGGGTGGGGGGTTGGAGTTTAACTATAATGAATTGTATCAATGAAGAAGAAAGCATGTTTGCATTAGAAGGTGCACACAGATGAGGAGTAAGTATAGAACCATCTCTCACCAAAGTAAAGAAGCTAAGGCATATATCTGTTGGTAGACAATAGTATCTTTCCTGCAACAGATCCTTAACCCAACCATAATCTAATTCAGATTTTCCCTAATTTTGTTGTGGTAACAAGCAAGGGCCCTTGATCTGTGTCATTACAGAGAACTAATATGTGTGCCTTGGTAGACTGCTTCTTCAAAGAGGCTGCTGGAAACCTAAAAGGGTATTCTGTCCATATTGAGGTGCTTCTAATTATGTACAGGATGGGTTGCCAGACAAACTGTTATCAAGCTGTAACTTAACCATCTCCACAATCTAAGGCAAAAAATGGGGTTTAATGAGGAACTCTAGGGGGAAAACTGAAAATTCTCAAAGAGATTGCAATAAATATCACTTAATGAAATGCCTTTGAATTTCCTTCACTACAAATATTCATGAATGAAGAAAGAACGTGTCTTCTCTCAAGGCTTCAAGGTCCAAGAAGGCATTTTCCTTTCTAATATGTGACTGTTCCTTTTCCTCTTAAGTGCCTCTTTGCATACTATGAGATCTATATGGATAGATATATTGGGCTGCTTCCCTATCCTTTTTCTCTGAAGAACATTTCATGTATTTGCACCCAAACAAACATACTGTAAGTGGGATAATAAATTGCTAAAGTTTTTCCTTTCAATGATAGATTCAAAAGACACTTTGTAGAGAAAGAACAGAAAACTTTAGAGACCAAGTATGCTAATTATTTTGAGGTCCTGAGGACGGGAAATATGAATCTCTTAGAGGGCATGTAAGAAAGAAGCAATTTCCTCAATCTCCAAGTGTTGAAGGGTCTAACAAACATAGATTACATGATAAAATTGAGTCTAACTTTAGTCTTGTAAAAACACCACTATCCCTTTAGAGCCAGAGAACCATTTAATGCATGGTAAGGTAATACATAGAGGGCCAACCCCCCACCAAAGACCAGAGCAAAATATTATATGGTTGGCATACCACAGTCAGTGTCTAAATAAATGGAACAAAATAGGAGAAAGATTTGAGAATAACTTTTCATGGTTGACAATCAGAATAATGCAGTCTCAATTTGTTCTCCTCTCAGGTGATTTCTTGTCACCTTTCTTTTACTTTAATGAATTTTATTTTTACTATATAAAAGCAGTCTTTTGCTGTTCCATTTACTGGAGTTCATCCAGCAACTTCTGTGGATGACTCTGTCCAGGTGCAAGTGGTGTTTTTTTTTTAATCAGAAAAGAAAAAATAAATTTATTAATTATAATGAGATATACTACAACTGATGGGAATTCCATCCGCCCAAGCAACACCAGATAACAAATTTTCCCATGTCAATTCCCTGCTTTGCTAATACATCTGCCATTTCATTTGCTGTTCTCCTCACCCATCTAATAGATGAAATAAGCCTCCTTGCAAAAAAGTCTATTTCCCTGAAAGCATGTCCGTAGGGCCAAGGTGCAAAATTATCTTGCCTGGTCCATGAAATGATCAATTGTGTATCCCTTTCGACTTCCAAGTCTCTGACACCCATCTGCTCTGCCAATCTCAATCCTTTTGGTAGGGCCCAAATCTTAGCCTTTGCTAAGTTTCCAATACCAATTGGACCTGAATACAAAGCCACCACTCCACCTATTCCTGCCCTCCCTGGATTGCCCTTTGAGTTTGGGCTGCCATCAAAGTTAAGCTTTAGCCTATTTACAGCTGGAGGTTGCCAGTCCATCCTCAAGTTTTCCTTGAATCTATCCGTTTGTGCCATTTCGGCCCAAGCTCTTAAAACATCATTAGTTGAATACTCCCGGTATTTGCAGAAAGTGGTGATCCAAAATGCTATTTGCAGAAAGTGCCATGCTCCTATGAGTGGGGAGACTGCATTAGTTCTCAATGAGCACTGAGCATCTCCTTATTCTTTTAAGGTCTATTTTAACTTCTCTTAACCTATATTATATCTTTTAATCTTTTTTACCATGGTGCTTTATAATGAGTTCTATATCCTAATCCTTGCTGTAAACAAATACCTTGATCCTCAATTTGTCCCAACATTTTTTTCTTGTTTCTCTTCAGATTATGTATTTTGAATTTTTGGTGAGAGAGTTGATGGCTTTTCCATTCATACTGACATGTATAGGAAGATATTAGGATTTTCTGGCTCAAAGAATCCTCTAATGCATGTTTAAGCAGTTACTGTCACTTGAAGTAGTGCCTCATCACCTTTTTTAATAGTTAATAACACGCTTCAAACAACCATGGGGAAGGCTTCATTTTTTTCTCTAACAACTAACATTGACCTCCTTTCTTTCTATCCTCAATGCTGTGACTTAAGTGGTGACTATAAGTTATTAACTTATTCTTTGTGTGATAAAGTGCTATTAATTCAAATATTCTTAGGGGCATTTATATACTGTTTTGTTTTTTTTTCCGTTTTTTTTCTAAGTTGTATCGTAGTTGATTCTAATATCACCCAACAAGCTGTTGGCACCTCTTCTTCCTGCTACAATTGATTTTACTTTGGGTTGGATACCTATTGATGGTATTTGAATCTTGATGTCTACTTCGTATTAAATTCTTTATTAAATTGTATGAAATTATGAATTATGTTAAGCATGATGATTTTCGTTTTTGTCATTTTTTTCTAAGATTACTTCTAAGTGTATTTAACTAGGAAGCACTGAAAAATTAACTACTATCGTATTTCTCATCCTGTCTACAGGTTGTTCAGAGAAAGCATGATAGTCATCTGACAAAGGTTGTGCTTATTGCAGGTTTGTTTACACAAAACTCTTGGCAGTTCTTGGGAAAGCAAGGAGACCAAGTGAAGCTCTTCGCATTTTCAATCTTATGCACGTAAAGTTCATGAGAATTTGTGCCTTTTTGTCTATATTTTGAAAGTGTTCTGCGTTTTTACTTGGTTTTTCTTTTTGGGTTCTAACTCTAATAATAACTATTCAGGAGGACAGCCATATATATCCTGATATGCCTGCATACCACAGTATTGCTGTTACACTTGGTCAAGCTGGTCTTCTGAAAGAACTTTTGAACATTATTGAGAGCATGAGGCTAAAACCATCCAAAAGAACTAAAAATATGCGCAACAAAAACTGGGACCCACGCCTTGAACCTGATATTGTTGTATTCAATGCTGTAAGAAAACACTGCAGTATCCTCACTTAATTATCAAGACCGTAATTGATATACACATTAGCTCAATTAATTAATTTCTTCCAAAATGGTTGCTAGGTATTGAATGCTTGTGTTCCATCCCATCAGTGGAAAGGAGTATATTGGGTGCTGGAGCAGATGAGGAGAAGTGGCCTGAAACCTAATGGAGCAACGTATGGACTTGCAATGGAGGTAAGCCACAGATCAGTTTTCAGAATTGAATACTTCAGTCCTTATATTCTACTCCATCAAAGATAAACCAATGACTAGTTTTAGCCTAATTTTAGTTTGAGGCTTCTCACAAGATAACATCTCATGTCTGGTTGCACCCACAGCCTCTCATCTTATTGTAGTTTGGGCTTTTCTATTTTGTATATTGGAATCCAACCTGTGACATCTTTGATTTATATCTTGTGTTGAGACTCTTTTCCAGTTTATTTAGGCTCAGTTTGGGAAGAGTATAGATACAATTTTGTAGAGTGCAAAACCTTGTATTTTGTATTATTTTGTATGTATTTGTACTGTATATATTTGCATTTGTACTCCTTCCAAACTGAGCCTTAAAGGCATATATAGATCCTAAATAGCATAAAGTATTCCTTTTCTGCAAGACATAATCTATCCTCAAAATATACATGTATTCAAGTCTTAGAGGAGGTGCTTGTTGAAAGGTAATGCTGGAATCAGGGAAATATGACCTTGTTCATGAGTTCTTTGGAAAAATGAGAAGAAGTGGGGAAACTCCAAAAGCCCTCACATACAGAGGTAATTATATTTTCACTATTTCAGTAATTGGCTTTATATTTGTTGTCATTTACATATTAACAGATTTATCATTTGCAGTTCTTGTTAGGGCCTTCTGGAAGGAAGATAAAGTGAATGAAGCGCTTGTAGCAGTCAGTGATATGGAACAAAGGGGAGTGGTTGGGACGGCTAGTGTGTATTATGAATTAGCTTGTTGCCTTTGCAACAAGGGGAGGTGGCAAGAAGCTATGGTGATGGTATGTACCATATGAATAAATCTCTGTGATTGGAATTTGAAAGCATGAAAGCTGGTTAATGCAAGAGCATTGTTGGTTAGGGTGCTCTAATTTTCTCTATTTTTTTTTTCTTTTTCATGAGTGTGCAAAGTGGTTAAAAGAATATATAGTTTTTTAGATTCTCAGTTCAGTTGAAGTTTCCTTGGCCACAAATTCTCTTTCTCTCTCTCTCTCTCTCTCTCACACACACACACACACACACACATCTGCTAGGATTACTCCAGTGTTATCACCACTGATGCTCCCACAGTTGTGTTGCTGGTAGCCTGGTTGCTGGCACTGAGGAAGATAACTTTGTGCATCCCCAAGAAGAGCAGTTGGGGTTACTTGAACTAGTGGTAGTATTTTTTTTTTTGATCAGCAAAAGAGAATTTTATTTGAAATTAGGTTTACAATAAGGTTTTACAGCTTTGTGTATGGGATTAAATTTCAAAATTCTTTATTTGTGTCCATGTTCGAATATTCATATTGTAATGTTATGAAGGAGTGTGGGTACTTTGGGAGGAAAACTTGTATCAAGTACCACTAATACTATCAACTATCAACCTCATCATGGCTTTGTTTTATAACTTGGACAATTGTAGTGTTACTATAAAGCATCTCTCTTGTTAGTGAGAGGTAGAGTAGTTGTAGTTTGTTAGTCCTATCATTTTCTCACTCTTCTAATTTTCTTCTATTTTTCTCTATTCTCTCAACTTATTCACAACTAAAAGATTCTAAGAGTGAGGTTAATGATGGGATCTGTTAGTTAAATTCTTTTGTGTCTTTATCATCTATTTTTTCTCTTTTGCTACAGTTCTTGCTTATTATTCTTGTCATCCTTCATTAACTTAGTATTCTTTATGCATTTTGGATTCCTGCCTGTGGTTAACTTGTGGTGTGTCTTCTTTCCCTTTCTTTTTATAATCAGCTAGTCTTTCATTTGTTGAAAGCATTTTAGATTCCTGTTTCTGTTGCATCCAAGAGGAGAGAATGGGTTCTGTTTCTTTTCAATGGTTGTTTTAGTTGGTTGATGGCATTTTATAGTGTACACTTCTTTGTGTGTTTCCTGCAACAGTATTCTTTGTTCCACGTACATGTTCATTGAAATAACTAAGGGGCTACAAGTTTGGGTTAAGGGAGAATTTTTGTCTTGTCAAAGTACTGTTGTTTTTAGTTGTTCTCACGTTGTCATTGAAGTGCTATTGTTCCTAGTTGTTTTTGTGTTGTCACTAGGGTACTGTCGTTTTTAGTTGTTTTTGTGTTGTCATTTGGGGTAATTGATATGTTGTCTATTCTTCCTCATATGAGAGTTGTTGTGGACCTGTGGTTTGATCTCTGTTAAGTTGGTAGCGCACTGTTATGATTAGGGAATGTGCCAAAAAGTGGACTTTAATGATAGCTAGTGTCTTGAGTAAGAGCTGTGGTCACCCATGAGTATCGTGATGGTCATCTCTTGGGTAAGTGTTGTGAGCCTCCATGAGTTCCATCTAATAAATTGAAAACTTGTCTTTACATGGATAAGAGCCAAGAGGTCCAAGTTGAGTATAATCAAATTGATTGGATTCCCATTGGTGGTACAAGTACTAGTTTCTGTCAAACTGGAATCATAAAGTTGCCTTGTTTGAGAGAAGCTATGGAAAATCTCTGAAATTACATGATTTCTTTCTAGTCAAATACTCAATTGAAGGGAAGTGTTAGAACATATTTACATTGTAACGTGTACGAGGAAGAGGGCACCCAAGGAAAAAAATATATTTAGGGACTTGAGTGTAAGATCCCATTAGGTGTCTGTTTTGTAATTTGGGCATATCTAGTGTTAACATAAAGCATCTCTCTCACTAGAGAATGTTGGATGTGATATTTTTTGCCATAATGTTTTCTCTTCTCTCTTCTCTGACCTTATGACAATGAGAGTCTAAGCCAGCTGTATTTGAGACAGTTCCTGTTTTTCTTTTTTGATAGGAAACGGTAACTTTCATTAGATAAAACCATAAGAAACAACTGTCACTTTCCAAAGTAAAAGGTGACCCCTGAATAACAAAAATCTTACAACACTGCACAAAACAAAAACTCCCGATTCACCCCCTGTTTTGCTAGGTAGTCAGCTAAAGCATTTGCTGACCTCCTAGACCAATACACTTTTGCATCCAGCTCCATTGTGAGGCTCAATAATTCCCTTACCTGTTGTCTAGGGTCCACGTTCCCAAACTGTTTGATTGTAGCCATCCTACTACTAATTTTGAATCTCCCTCCACTTCCAATTGTTGGAAACCCAATTGCTTGGCCCATCTGAGCCCCTGGAGGAGCACCAAAACTTCAGCTCTAAGCGAGTCCCCCACACCTATTGGGCCAAAATACAGAGCTAGGATTTTTCCTTCCGCATCTCTAAACACACCCCCTATTCCAGAAGGTCCGGGGTTCCCAATAGAGCTGCCATCAAAGTTCAGTTTGACATGACACTGCAAAGGAGGGGACCAAACTTCTTGTATGGTAGGTGATGAAGTAGAAGATCTTGCTAAAATATTCCAGCCTCTAATCAAATCATCTGTAGAGACATCCTTGAACAATTCAAGAGTTTTCAGCCAATGTACTGCCTTGATGGTGATCCCTTCAATAACTTCAGGAGCCTATTTTTCTTTCCCTTGGAAAATCCTATTGTTTCTCTCTTCCCATACTGCCCACAAGATAGCTGCCCTCGTTGTTCTCCACATCACCCTTCCTTTCTTCTTTGGTTGTCGGAAAAAGCTAGGGTCAAATAAATCCGCTACACTTGTGGGAGGATTCCACCTACAATCAAAGAGAGAGGAGAACCAATCCCAATTCCACCTACAGTTCCTGGTTTTTCTGCATCTCAGACACTGAAATTGGGTCTACTCCCACTGAACATTGTGTATGATTTGTCTTTTAGGTGTATAAATTAGATTTTTTGCTAGAATCACCAGCGAAGTGGTTGCATAAATATGCATTTTGGCCTGAATTTCCAGCCAACGCTATGGTTTATAGAAGGAAAGCTGGGTTCAAGGCCCAGATGCCACATTGATCAAGGTCTTTATTATAAAGGGCCTTGAAGTTCATAAAAGAAACACCAAATAGTGGACTGATTTTTTTTTTCATTTTCTTATAGTGATTGGAAACAGAAATTAAGAATAAAACACACATGTGATCCTCAATATAAATCCAACCCCTTAAGCAAGACAGAATGCAGTGAATAAAAAACTTAAATATGGAAACAGATTGGACCTCATAGTAAATCGTAAGATAAAAGGATTATTGGTAAAAAAATCAGATTTGTTCACTTCCTCTGTACTGACCATAGAATTGGCTGATTATTAAAAACCTATTGTTTCTATTGTTAGAAAACAACATTGGAGATGGAAAATTTTCTACAATTGTTAGATTTTTTTTTGGTGTTTATTGAGCAACAGTTTCCAGCTAGATGAGATATATATTACTGGTTGATTTTCACTTAGAAATTTATTCGCCTTTCAGTTGGGGATTTGGGGATAATTGATTGTTTTAGTTTTAGTTGGAGATGGTCGGTAGAACCATTTCATCTTGGACATATTTGATTATACGTATATATTGGATCAATAACAGAGAATTTCTTTTAGAAATGAAATAAGCATGAGGCAAAATGAAGATATAATAAGATGGACTTCTCAGGCCCAGAGGATCAGACCCGCAAAGAAAGAGGCTATAACACTCCAAGCATGACATAAAAAAACCTATGCAACGTCAAAAAGCACCTTATCAACTAATCCTGGACAGCCAACACTCGATGTAATTTGCTCCTGTGTATGCCTCTCCTAGCCAAACTTTCAACAAAAAAGGGTGATCTTTGGATCCTCATCTAACAACTAGCCTTCACCTAGTCACGATCAAGGGAAACATCAAAGCGAGCCTTCAAGCAAAGACATGATCTCCACTCTAATAAAGTTCCTTTAGTTTATATCATCATCATCATCTAAGCCTTGTCCCAACTATTTGAGTTCCTTTATATGCAATTCATTTTTTTGGCTGATTTCAATGGAGATTGTGATGGTGACCATTTTGGAGAACCATCTTGCCTTAATTAACTGGGATGTTGAGCCATTTGAACTAACATATACCATTTTGAGTTAGCTGCTTTACATCATGGTTTATGGCTATCCGTCTGTTACTAAGTTTTGCTAAACCAGGAAACTCATTCTTCCTAAACATGATGCAGGTTGATAAGATGAAAAAGCTTTCTCTTACTAAACCTTTGGAGGTAGCCTTCACTGGAATGATCTTGTCCTGTATGGATGGTGGACATGTGGAGGACTGCATATCTATTTTTGAACACATGAAAGAACACTGTGCTCCTAATATTGGGACAATAAATGCAATGTTGAAAGTTTATGGGCACAGCGATATGTTCTCAAAAGCTAAAGAGTTGTTTGAAGAAGCCAAGGGAACCAAATCTCTGTTTACTACCTATCCTGATAATGGTGGCGCTTTCCTTACTCCAGATGTACATACATATAGCTCAATACTTGAGGCATCAGCTAGTGCACATCAGTGGGAATACTTTGAGTATGTATACAAGGAGATGGCTTTCTCTGGGTACCAGTTGAATCAAGACAAACATGGATGGCTACTTGTGGAAGCTTCTAGAGCTGGAAAGGTAGATAATACGTCTATTTCCTGTTCATTTGCAGTATGGTAGGCCCTGTTTCAGTTGTCTTGAATTTCTTTTTTTTTGTTTGGATGCTTAGGCCACACATAACGCAGGAAGTTGATTAAGCATTGTAACTATGGTACATTGGCTACGTTTAATAGTTAATATCTGTATACTTTTTCTTAACATCTCTCATTTTTCTTCATTTTACCCGTGTTCTTGTGTGCTGAATGAAATATTGGAGTTATTATTTCTCACCGAGGCAGATCTTACTATTTTTTTAAATTCTTTTTTCTTCACCCCTTTTGTTGTTGTCATTATGTGAATGTGCATGTCTTTGTCTGTTTGTGTTTGCACGTGTGTGCTTGGGGGTGTTTGCATAGATACTGTGCATTAAAAATTTGAAATTATTTCATTCCAATGCCACCTTTATGGAAAGACTGATTCCCTTAGCAATATTTCTCTGGCATTTGGTCTAATCAAGGTATAAATAGAAGAAAAATATACAAATTATTTAATGGCTTTTTTTTTTTTGTTTTTTTCCAGTGGCATTTGTTGGAGCATGCATTTGAAAGAATTCTTGAATCCGGAGAAGTTCCACATCTGTCATTCTTCACTGAAATGGTCTGCCAAGCTACAGCTCAACATAATTATGAGAAGGTTGCTACTATAGTAAACACCATGGCTCATGCCTCATTTCAAGTCAGTGAAAAGCAATGGACAGACCTTTTCAATACAAATAGGGAGAGGATCAGCAGGGTTCAATTGCAGAAATTGTTGGAGACAATACAAAATAGTGATATGATGGCTGAAGCCACCATCTCTAACTTGAAAAGGTCATTGAACACTTTCTGTGGATCAAGGTTACCAAACATGTCAGAATACTTTTTGGAAACGATTTCCACTAGAGATCCTACCTCTGATAAAACACCCTCTGATGATATTGATGGGAAATTGGATGGTAATAAAAGCTGGAAGATGCTGAAACCTTCTGTAGACATGGTGGATAGCCACCCTGATCCTAACAAGGATTTTCCTGACATTGTTAATGGTGATAAATCTGGCTTTTCTGTTCATCATATTACCAGTGACATAGAAGATGATGGTGGTGTAGCTTTGGTACCTGACTTGCTGGGTTATGTTGTCAATGAAGACATAGGAACTGGTCTATACAATAGAGTGGATGATCCAACTGACAATGCATCCTTAAATAAACCTGGTTGGTTTGGCAATAAGAACTCAATATCCATATCACGTTGCAGCTCAGAAGATGACTGTACTGAGGCGGCACTAGACATGCTGATCAACCAGAAAAAAATTGACTACCCTCATGAATCTAACCTGCCATCAGCATCTGAGATACTAGAAGTATGGAGGGTAAGTAGGAGGAGGGACGGTATTTTATTCCCTTTTCAACTAAACTGTAAATAAGTACAAGTTTTTACTTTCTGCCTATGTCATCCGGTGTAGTGATATTGTTCTCATGTTGTGGGTTCCTGTGACAAATGCAAGTGTTTCCATTTTCCATGGTGGGAGAGTGGTCCTTGAGGATGGCTGGCCAATTTTATTTGTAAAAGGCCTTTGATTTTTGGCCTATTTCCATTTGGCACACAGAAGATCTAGCCGCCAAAAGCTGGAATGCTGAAAATACACGAAAAACCCATTTTTGAAAGCTCCAAATGAAGTTTTTAGCGTCTTTCATGGTTTATTCTTGGGTGGAAATACATGGAAAGACGCTCGTTTGCCAAACGTGCTTTGGACTACTTAGATCTTCATGCAAAAGCTCAATGCGTCTTTTGACTGTTAGAGTTACCAGAAGATCTTCCCAAAAAGATACACCAAATGGGCCCCTGATGTTTTGCTAGGGTCCTATCACATTATTTTTTAACATTCCAAAACATTCAAATCTCCAACTCCCATTACATGCCATATCGGTGACCTTGAAAACCAATACAATACGCCCCATTAGATATGAATGTTGCATAATTGCGAAAAACAAACTTGTCAAAACCATTATTTATATAGGTGGAGGCAAGGCCAGAAACGTAAGTAAATGTACCCTTGGCCCCCCAAAACTTAAGAATCTCACTAAAATGTTAAGGATCACGATGTAACACTCCAATTCCAAACCCTAAAATTTAAAAAAAGTTGTTTATTTTTCTTAAAAAAATCTGTAATAGATCCAAGCCTTTCTGCCCCATTTCTCTCCAAACCCTACCTCATCTATTTCCTATCTCATTTTCCTGTTACCTCCATTACCAAAATCTACTTGCAAGCTTTTTTGGAAACAAAACTTGAACCAAGGCTTACAGTCCAACTCAAAGATCACTTGAAACAAATTTTGTGAAAGTGTGAATATGCAACTTTAACTTTATTCCACTGTCCTCAGAAGGCAAATTGATTACAGAGCAAGCCCTTGGATATTGGAACGTGACATGGGTGGATAGTGCCTTAAAATACTTGTAACTTTATAAGGAGAGACAAATAGGCAGTGGAGATTTATAGAAGATAGGTATGGTTATTTTGCCTTGATGTTGAATTGTTGCTCTAGACATCTTCAACTTGGTGCTCCTTAGAACAAGAGTGAATAGCGATACCAACATTATACATTCAACTGCTTTGAAAAAGAACTGCATAAAAGAACAAAGATAACAAAGTGAGGAAATTTCTCCTAACACAACAGAAGCAATATAAATGCAAAATGGAAATATATTACATTCCACTATTTATACCCCAAGGAATTTGCTATATAGAGTCTAAAGGATTAAAATCTGTTTCAGGCATTCACACATTCCTAAAACGAAAGCAATAATATGGTTTGAGGAAACAACATTCGTACATTGTATGCATACCCCTTTAAACACTAAGAAGGTTAAGTACTAGCATTAAATAGAAAAGGAAGACCATGGAGGCTTCAAATCCTTAAGAGGTGCTGCATTTTGCTCTTCCCTGGCATCAGTTTGTGGGGTTACTTAGGCATGGTCTCAGCTCTTGGCAGGTGCTAGGGGTGCTTATATTTGGGCTATGGTTTTCCTGGATTTATTCTTATTTTTACATCCATAAAATCAATGAAACTTTCAAATATTCATCTGCACTAAGTCTTCGAATGGAAAACCACCACCTGGGTGCAAATAAGAAAGATGTTATGAGATAATGTTATTATAACATATAGAAGAACTGTTTCTTGCTAAACATGAAATTATCTAATTTGGGTAGTTATGTTATCCATTTTTAATAGCATTGTCTGACCCAGACTAGCTAGGAGAGCCAGACAGTCCAACCCTCCACCATGCAGCAAAAGACATCCTATATGGCCTGGATTTCACATTTCTCTGGACCATGAACCTTTAAATACATGAATGTATATTTGGATCTTCACTTATTTTTTATTTCTAAGTTTTGTTTTGTTTTGTTTTTTATGAAATTCCTCTGACCTGGCTGAGCTGCTTTGCAACAAGGACAATTGTATGTTCAAAACACCACCAAGGAGGAAAAATGGACTAATGCCCAAGCTGCATCTTATAACTGGTCTAATGTAGCCCTTTAAGGGAGAATGTCTGGGAGACCACAAGTAAAAGTTCATTTTTTATGAACCAAAACCAAATGTTAGAGTGCCTTCAATTATGCAGCCAAATGACATGCATAAGTGGAGGAGAAAACATTCATCATCATCATCATCATCATCATCATCATCATCTAAGTCTTCCAAACTATATAGGATTGGCTACATGAATCTTGTTTCACCATTCTGTTCTGTTTTTAGCGTCATATCCATTGCTAAATTACCATTCTGTTCTGTTTTTAGTGTCATATCCATTGCTAAATTATGAGTTGAGAAGAAAGCATTGATGATAAAAAATTTAGATACTACAAGTGGAACTTATTAAGAACCCAATTGTTCCTTAAAATTTGTTGTCTCATTATTGGGAAGATCAATGAAGATAAAGAAGAGGTCAGTACAGATGACCCAATAGACTAGGCTCCTCTTTCCTCAAGGAGACTGTAGATTTAAGTACTCACATCTTCATGGAAATGGAATGATATCTAACCTGATCGTTACAATAATTTGATGTTGGAATGTTTGAAGATTATCTTCAGAAAACTGCCATTTAACATTGTTCCACTCCCTCCCAGTGAGTTGTCAGCTTAAACTTTGATGGATGTTCTCTTGGAAACCCAGGGTACCCAAGAGCAAAAAAAGTCTTTATAGACGATGGGGAAGTGATTTTCAGGGTTTACCTGTTTCCTAAGGTGTGGGAACTCTATATGAGCAGAGACACCATGGTTGTCTCAGGGATTGAGGCTCATGTTCTCTCTAGATCTCACTCACATACAGGCAGAGGAGGATTCTCAGGTGCTTATTGGGTGGAAGAGATGGGGATGAAGTCCCCTGGTGCTTTTGCCATTATCATATAGGCTAGACTTCTGGTGCCCAGGTTTATCCTACAATACTGCTGCCCCTCCATTGGGCTCTTCAGGGTTATATGTAAAGCAGTTATTGTAAGCTTTTGGGTTTCTTGCTTCTTCCTCTGTATCAACTTTTCTTGTCTCCTTTCGATCATAAATAAATTATTTTGTTATTGATAAGAAATATTAGCAAATTGCAGATTTGTTCACGTAAACTAATTTGTCTATCATGGATTCAAGGGATTTCACATTATTTAAATAATGCCAAAGAGTTCTTTGGCTATAACAGACATAGGTGGTGGAATCATCTTGTTTTTCAACTCCATTGGGAGTTGTGGGTAGTTTTTAGTCCTTGTAATAGATGTCTGAGTTGAAAAAGGACAAAAAAAAAAAAAAAAAAACGCAAAAGATCCTTCTTGCTTTTCATTCTCATCTTTTTCATCAATATTCTCTATTAGGTACCAGTATACCACCAGTGGATATGGTAATGATGGGTAGCTTTATGAGCTTCATATTAAGTGATTGGATGAAGCAAAGGGTCTAGTGGTTTGGATGACACTACTTATTGATCTGGACTAAAAGGTACAAAATTATGGATTATATTCATGTTCCAATAAGAGTTACTTGTATAGAAGAGATGCCACTAAATTTAATAGAAGAAGGGAGCATTCCTGCTCTAATAATGCCTGATAGGTGCATTTTCAGATTACAAAGGCTAATTCTTTTAATCTGAAAATGCACCTATCAGGCTAATTCTTGGATGATCAAGAACATGCACTATTGAGTACTGGAGGAATGGAAAGAATCTTCTTGCCGGCAAGGAGATGGAGGAGTGTCATTAAGGTGGAGTCAAAGGAGTTCTTGATGGAAGAGATGTACCGGCAGAAGGAAACTACAGTCAAGTTTCGTAAGGGAGGAAAGGTACTGTTCTTCTGAAGGGGGAGGCAGCTTTTTGGTTTCAATCCTTTCTGGATGGAGCGGCGAATGTAAGTTGGAGAGTCGACTGGAGTGGTAACTTCAAATACTTGACCAAGGAATATTGTGCAGTGAGAAGGAGGAATTCAAAGGGATGGTTTGTATCCTTGGAAGAAAGATTTGACAAAGGGAAGAAGCAGATGATTATAATCCCAGAAGGTAAAAATCGATTGGGGTGGATGAGGTTTGCAGATGAACTCCACAAGATAGTTAGCGAAGGATGGTGGACAAAGAAGGAGAACAGCCCACTGAGAGAGAACAACTTAATGAAGGAAGTAGAAGCATTGGAAGGTATTGGTAGTAAGGAGGAGCTAAAATAAAAGAATAAAGAAGCTGGAAAGGCTAGGGCTTGAAGAACAGTGTGAAAACAGGGATTCTGTAATTTTGTTACTCTATCTGCACCGGAAGCTAAAATCTCTTTAAATGGAGAGAAGGGAGACTGGGAGCGGAGATTAGTTGTAACAGTAAAAAACAAAGTGAAAGATTGGAAAAGAATATTAGAAGACGTAACAAAAAAGCTGGGTATTGGGAGTAGTACTGTTCTCATACCTTTCAATGAGAGAAAAGCTACAACGGATGGGGGGAAGACCAGTGTGGAATTTGATACGCTTGAAATGCAAGAAGGCACTGTGACAATTGGAAAGTGGTTTGAGTGATAATAGCATTCACCTGAAGTTATTGGGAGCGATGCGAGGCATGTTAATCTTGTACAACAAATGGGACTGAGAGCTATCAGTATGAGGATTGCCGGAGTTAAGCCAGTGGCTATTCCAAGATGTTTAAATTTGCTCTGCGATGGTCTTTGGAGTAAGGTGTGGGTGGCGTTGGGAGCTGAATCGACGCTCTGGAATGGGAAAGAGACGAAGGAGGAAGATGATGAAGTGGCTGGATGGGTTACAAGTGGTGAGGATACAGGAGTTAGAAACTCACACATGTAAAATGACGTGGGGGACGGGAAGGAGTTAGGGACATGCAAAGGTGGGACGGTACGAATGCCAAATTTGAATTCAAATCTGGTAGTTAATGCCTTAAACAACGAGTTAATTACTGGGGAAGGTGATCTGAATGGGAAAGACTTGATTAGGGGGTGGGGCCCACCTGGTAGTGGCAAGCCTACTAATAAGTGCTTGAGTGAACTGGTTGGTTCGAAAAGGGAGGGACCATTGGCTTGGGAAACAAGGTCGACTGGAAATATTGACTCACGTGAGACCTTAAAAGTTCACATGGGTTGTGGGACTGTGAGGGTGATAGACAAGAAGGGGCTTATGATGGGCTCCAAGGCAAAATCCTTCGACTGAACACCCAAATCCGAGATTCTCCAGAAGGAAGAAGATGTACTTTGAGGATTCAAGTGAGGAAGAGTGGAGCAGCATTGAGGAAGATGAAGAAAATTCAGGCTCAGAGGAGTCGTCTAGCATCAGAAGTGTGCAGGAACAAGAGAGAAGAGACAGAAAGGAGATCGAAGATCTGAACTTGGAAAGGTTATTTAGGACTCGACTTGGAAGCCAAACAGATAAAGATCAGTTGGAAAAGCAAACGGGGAACCTCATACCCAAGCAAAATAGGGGTACACCACAACGCAAACAGGTAGGAAGGCAGACCAAATGCAAGAGCAGTTGCAGAGGGAGAAGTTAGTGATTGAGAAGCATAACCAGGAGAAAAATATAGAACTACTGTGGATGGGGGTGGATTCCGGTCCCGGTCAAGTCCAACGATGTGCATCGGGAAATGACCAACTAAAAGTTTCAAACTCCTTGGCCGGGGATATGGACTCTGTTGGTGATGCCTACCCTCCCTTGTTTTCATTTGCTTCTATAAACTCCTCAGGTACCTCAGTCCATTTGTTTTCGGGTACTAACAATAGCACTGGTCCTTTCACAGGTGTTCCAGATCCGGAGTTGTATCTCTGTGAGCCCATGGTTGCTAAGAAGGGTAATGGAAAGGAGGGAGAAAAGGATGAAGGAAATAATATTATCATGGGGAGGAAGGAAGGAAGAGGTAGAAATCAAGAGCAAGAAAAGGGGCAAAAGAGAATTGTAGAGAGGAGGATGAAATTACTTTGAAAGAATGGGCTAAAAAGATGGGGTTAAGGATTAATAAGTCAAGGGTGGAGAAGCTAGGCAAGAAGGAAGGTGTTGAAAGAACGAAGAAGAGTAGGAATGAGGAGGTAGGAGAGAAGGCGAGAAATTAATTAGAGGTATGTGAAAGAAGGGGATCTTAGATTAGTGATGATAGGATGAAGATAATGTCGGAGTGTAGGAGGGTTGGGGAGTGCAAGCAAAAGAAAAAGAATTAAGGATGTTGTTAGAAGAGAAAGGCCTGATTTTCTGTTGATCGAAGAATCAAAATTACAAGAAATAGATAGGAGATGGATTAAGAGCATTTGGAAGGGAAGGGGAATTGGATGGGTTCAAGCTCCCTAGTGGGGTGCTTTAGGGGGTATAGTTACTCTGTGGAATGAGGAGTTGGTGGATTGTGTGGAGGAGTTGATCGGAAGATTCTCAGTGTCGATTAAATTAAGGAATGTGGCGGACAACTTTGTTTGTGTTATGACCAACATTTATGGGCCAAATGAGTATAGAGAGAGGAATGAATTGTGGGAGGAGTTGGTAGACATTAGAGGTCTTTGGGAAGGCCCCTGGTGTTTGGGAGGAGATTTTAACGTGATCAGATGTCTAGAGGAGTCCAATAATCCTAGACAGAGGGTTACAACCATGAGGAGACTCAACAGATTTATAGAGACCTTTGAGCTGAAGGAGATAGAGATGGGACAAAAAGTTCACATGGACAAATTGTCAAGAGAATCCTATATATTCAAAAGTGGATAGGTTTCTTGTTACCTCAGATTGGGGGGAGAAGTGGAATGAGATGGCAGGTAGAGTCCTTCCTAGACTCACATTGTATCATTGGCCCATTTGCATTGAAGAAGGATCAAAGGGTGATGGACCAGTCCCATTTAGGTTTGAGAATATGTGGCTTACATTTCTGGAATTTATGCAAAAATTGGAGGAATGGTGGAGGGAGGAGGCACCTAGGGCAAATTGGGAAGGTATAAAATTCCATAGAAAACTTCAAAAATTGAAATTGAAGATCAAAGAATGGAAATTTAATGTGTTTGGGAGAATTGAAGAAAGGAAATCCAGTCTGATTAGTCAAATTGAAGACTTGGACAGTAAGGAAGAGCTAGGCACTTTGATAGAAGGGGAAAGGAATGAGAAACTCAAGGTGAGGAAGGAATTGGACTTGTTATAACTAAGGAAGGAGATTAGTTGGAAACAAAAATCAAGAGTGAAATGGATCAAAGAAGGAGATGGGAACACTAAGTTCTTTCATAGAATTGCAAACGGGAGGAGAAGGAAAAACTTCATTTCTATGCTGGACATGGAGGATGGTTCTATCAGCCAACAAGCAGAAATTTCAAGGGGCTTTGTGAACCATTTTAAATCAATCTATAGGAGGCTAGGAACTACAAGATGGAATCTAGAAGGACTTGAAGGATCTCTTTTGGAAGAAAGATGGAGTATTGTTTTAGAAAAGGAATTCGAGGAAATAGAGGTCAAGGAAGTTATTTTTGCCAATGGATCAACCAAAAGCTCCTGACCCGGATGGTTTCACCATGGCTTTCTACCAAGAAGGTTGGGATTGGATTAAGGAGGATCTCATGAAAGTGTTTGCGGAGTTCTATCATCGAGGGATCATTAACCAAGGTTTGAATGCAACTTTTATTGCTCTGATCCCTAAGAAGACGGGTGCCAATCATCCTAAGGACTTTAGGCCAATCAGTTTAGTGACTAGCCCCTACATAATATTGGCTAAAGTGTTGTCTTTGCAATTGAAAAAGGTTCTTCCCTCAATTATTTCTCAATTCCAAGGGGCATTCATTCAGGAGAGGCAAACTAGTGATCAAATTCTTATTGCCAATGAATGTGTTGAAGACTTTAAGAAATCAGGCAAGAAAGGAATTGTGTGTAAATTGGATTTAGAGAAGGCTTATGATTTTGTGGATTGGAAGTTATTTTTTTTTTGATCAATAACACTTTCATTAACTCATCAAAAGAAGATTTACAATAGGAAGACAAACACACTTATCTTCCAAGAGCAACAAAGAACCTCAAGAAAAGAAAAAAAACAAAGAAAACACACTATAGTTATAGCTTAGCCCAAAA